TACAAGCCGGAGGGGGCAGGAGTGGGAAGAGGAAAAAGAGGGGGGGGAAAAAAAAAAAGAGGAAACCGGGGAGGGGGGGGGGGGTTGGCGGAGGGGGCGGGTGGGGGGGCGGTGAGGATGTATAGGAAGGGGGCGAGCAGGAAGAAGAGGGAATGCTGCGCGATGCGCCGGGATGACGTGGACTGTAATGAGGTGAGGAAGCGGTGGAATCCGCGAGGATCGTCCGCGTGGCAAATGTCGCCGAGACTCCCGTGCGGCGACCATCTTCGTCCCCCGACGGTCCACCTAGTCTGTGACCACCTCCGTCCGTGCATGTCTCCCTCCCCGCGTCGTCGTCCCGATACCCACACACCCCTCCGCCTCCTACCACGTATCCCGCATTCCCCCCCCGCGCCTCATCACTCAATTCTTTTCTACCTCTATATCTCTCTCTAGATTCCACCCCCACACCCTTTCTCACCCCCTTCACTCCTCGTCGCTCAACGGCACCTCCAGTTGTGGCATACTGACCACGCGTCCACGCCCCTTGGAGCCATCTGTCCCACTCTCACTCATCGTGCTCGTCCCGTCCATAGCCAATCGCGCCTCCTTCATCACCTCGCTCTGGAACAGCTGCCTAGCGGTCCGCTTGCCCCACCCCGCGCCCTCGTCCTTGCCCTCTTCCCCACCCCAGCTCTCTTCCACTTCCGCCGGCGCGATCGCCATAAATTCGTCCTGGTCCGCGTCGCCCTCCACGTCGCCCTCCACGTCGCCCTTTGCGTCGCCCTTTGCGTCGCCCTTTGCGTCGCCCTCCCCGGCCTCCTCCTCCCCCTCCTCTGCCGTTTGCCCCTTGTCCCCGGACACCCGAAAGTTGAACTTGTCCACGTGCGTGTACGCCAGGCTCCCGTTTTTCCTCGCCCCACTACCTGTCAAGTAGTCGAACCTCTTGTCCCCGTCCTCTCCCCCGTTCGCCACCCTCCCGCGTGACCGGCTGCCCGTCCCGCCGGACGCCGTCACGCTGTGCGAAATCTGCCGGATCGCGTTTTGCAGCTCGCTGTTTTCCGACAGCGTGCGCTCCCGTACTGCCATGGATGACGTCACCGAGTGTGTCAGCTGCTCCACCTTGCTGTTTGTTTCCTGCGTGCTTGCCACAAGCTCTTGAATCCGCGTCCGGAGTTCCGCTGCCGTACATATAAGAAAAAGAAAAACAGACCCCCGACACAAGCATCCCGTCAGTACAAAGTACAAAGCAAGTTCGACATACAAACAAGCTAGCAACGCATGACTGTAGATTGCTTATAACGCACCAATTTGCACTTCCTGCCCTTGAAAACTCATCTCCTCACGCCTCCGCCGCTCCTCCGCCACGCGTGCCGCGTCCGGAAAGTACATCGGCACCACATATCTCCGCAGCACCTCCCTGATCGCTGTATAAATCCCGGCCGCAGCCGTGATTCCCAGAAACACAGACATCCACGACGGGCCTCTCCTCTGATACGGAACCACGACGCCGTGCGGCGGGTACATCGGCGGCGCGCCAGGCGCGAACGGTTGCGGTACAGCGGCGAAAGGAGACTGGCTATTTGGAAAGGGCACGCCCACTCGTCGGTACGCCTCCCGCAGCTCGTCCTCCGTGATTCCTTTGGTCCGCAGGAAGTCCAGAGCGCGTTGGGGCTCGGCGCCCTTGACGCGAGGGTCGTTTAGAAAAGTCACCGCTTGCTGGATCGATGGCTCGCGCAGGGCACCAGGGGAGGCGGATGACTGCTGCGCTGCGTCTTCGAACGGGTCCCCCATGGTGGGTGTGTGTTTTGGAGGCTTTGGGCCTTGTTCTCGGTCGAGCTCGGCGAAAGCGGCGGGCTGCGCTGCTCGTATAATGGAGAAGCACTCCGTCCGCAGTCTGCGTGCTCTCAAGCAAAGGTAGATTTTCAAAATCGGTGAGGCGTGATTCGAGCTTGATTTATGTCGTTTTTGTTTATTTCTTTGCGATCTTTGCGCCATTGTCAAGTAAAGGTAATTCAAAATCCGCTTCCTCCAATCCAACGTCAGTCTTTAACAGAGCAACGCGATTGACCTGGTATAAGCACCAACACCCTTGCTCCGTCAGCGCCTTCCAACGCAGCTTCCACTGAGCTGGGATACGAAGCAAATCTAACAACATTCGATTAAGACTGGAACCCATGCAATAGAGTTCAACGTACTGTAAAAATGCGTCGCAGACTAGGCCGACTTCAGCATTACGAAGCCTAAAAAAAGAACACCATACTACATGACATACCCCACCAGTCATTGGTATCGACAAGTGCACATTTTTTCGCCAGGTACACTATATCCTAGAGTAGCACTACTGCAGTACACACCTTAAGGCATAACCTATTTACCCCAAACACTAATACGTACAGCACGTAGAGCGCACAAAAGGGAGTTTAATTCAAGTAGTGGTTCCATGTTTGTGCGACTCTGGAACACAGGGTTGTTTTACGTGTTTACAACTGTGGATGCGGGCCATCTGTTCTTAAAGGTCTTCTGTTCAAAACGTCGGCGACTTAGCAAGAGCTCCATTACGAAGGCACAGTGCCATTTTCCGCTTTGCTCTTTCATTCCAGCCCTCGACAACTTGCGTGTGGTTAAACAAAGAGAAGCAGAAGTAAAGTCTTAAGGGATGCTCATCATAAGTGCTACCGAAGGCGTATCCGCGGAGAGCACTTCACTGAACTGGTCATGTGACATATCGTCATACAAACGTTAAAAGGACGAGAAATTACAACACAGGCGGTGGGTTGCGAGTGCGGTAAATGTTTCATTCGTTGCTGGCGTATCCACCCGGCCTCTTGATATGCATTCAGCTTCCATTTGTATCTCAGTTAATCATGCTAGAAAATCAGTGGGATAAACATGCTGTGTGATGACATTCACTGTTCAGAAACCCACAAACAGGCTCGCCTCGTCTGCCTCAAGAACCAAGCCGAGCAGGAACATAAGCACTCATCTGCAGCTATGAGGATACGAAGCTCTTCGAAACCCTTCAGACTCAAGACCATCGCACCTGGTTCCAAATATCCTCATAGCCTGCAGTTTCAGATGTCTTGTTCTAATATTTACTTAAATCCAAAATGACACTGGCCCCTAGATGGGATCGCCTCCCGCGCACTAGCTGCTCCCAGACCGACGCCGACGACCGTTTGCCGTCGATTTCGCTTTTCCAGCTGATTGTACAGGACGCTCCATATCTGTTGCGCCATAATCGACTTCTTCAACCTCCATCAATTCCTCTCCTTCTATTTTTTGGTTAAAGGAACCATGTGGCTCTTGAAGCAAAAATAATTCCCGTGCGTACTGCAGCCGGTCGTGCTCTTCGATTGGGCTATTCTCTATGATTCTGGCCGCCTCTCTCACCCCACTCATATACGCACCATGTGCCGTCGCAGGGTGTCTTCGATGCGTTGCCTCTCCGGCAAAATGTAGTGTCGATCCTACCGGTCTAGACATGTTGACATAATCATCCGGCGTTGTCCCAACTCCAGCGAAGGAGTACGAACCGCGGGCGTATCGGTCAGTCTTCCACCGCGTCACTGTGTGTCCTAAGAGATCACTTGGAGGATTATCCGGAAACATCTTCTTCAACGCGTTCATAGCCATGCCTACCACCTCTTCGTCTGAGATTTTCTCGATGTGTTCCGCAAACCTCCCGGACGTCACCGCTACTAAAACAGGTGCGCCCAGACATCGCCACAAAGAAAGGAAAATGGAGAAAACCCCGTGCTCCTCTGATACCCTACCAATCTGATCCAGAATTTCGCCTTCCTTCTTCCCACTGCCCGTCATTGATCCATCAATCCAAAAAGGTGTTTGAAATCTAAGAATGACTTTGTTCACCAGGCCAAAACCGATGTTGTGCATCGCATTGTTTTTCCACGCGGGCAGCGGAGGAAATATTGACACATCACCATTCTGAAGGACGCCGAGAGGCAACGTGACAATGCAGGATTCGGCAACAAATTCTTGTCCGTCGGAAGCGGTGACCCTAACCCCATATGCCTGTTTCGTACTCTCCGTCACTGGCATGTTCATTTTTCCGATTCGACCTTTCGCACCCTTGGTGATACCGTCCAAATAGCGGATACGGTCCTCGCGGTTTCCATGAGCTATACTATGCGCAAGTGATTCATTCTGCCTCTTCGCTACAGCCTTTTTCTTTTCCTTTTTCGCTTGCCCTTTGTTTCCCATCAATACTTGCACTGGAATATCTCTTTGAATGGCCACAACCGGAGTATTATATCTAATGTCCAGATTTCGGGCTAGCGCGTGTATAATTGAAGAATATCCATCCCGAAGCAATCTATGATTTCCTGAAAAGCCAAATCGGTCATCCATGTCGTAAAACTTGGCACTGAGTTCTGGCAGTTCGGCTGCACATGCCATTTCAAGATTCGCGGCATGCCAAGCGAGCAGTTGGCTGACTTTGTCGAGGCAGCCGTCCTTAACCTCCTCTTTCAGTCGGTTCAATAGCTTTCCAAGAGCTATGTCTAAACGCGGATGCTCTAAAAACTGGCTCTTTGATATCTTCCCCGCTCTTCGCACGAGCGCCTTCCATATACCCTCTGCGCGCTTGTCCACGTCATTTGCAACCTTGTCACCGTTAGCATACAACAAAGTGCCGACATCGCTTGGGGTGTAGGTGCGCAGTTCAGCCTCCTGGACAATTTCTGTTAGCGGGTTTCCGACTGATCCATGAATAAACGCTGCACCGAGATCTACAGGACAACCCATGGACCAGTCCGTAGCAATCCTCCCACCAGACCGACCCCGTGCTTCTAACACAGTAACACGAAAGCCCCGATCAGAGAGTGCTCTCGCAGCAGCAATACCCGATATTCCTGCGCCTACAACAATTATGCTTCTCGCTTGAACATCTGAAGCCATCAGAGATGCAGTGTTCCAAGACCTATCGTTCTCCTTGTTCGATGATGGCCCTTTGTTCAAAGGCACGACTCGACGAGAAAGTTGAGAGACCGGGGCTTTTCGCGAACGAACTCGCGCGTTCACTCGAGGCGGATCAGGTAGACGCTTTGAGTAATGGCGAGCCTGACTATCAATGCTTTTCTGAACATCGGCCTTCTGTTCCTGTGCTGGAGGCATTTCAGCATCAAGAACCCATCCAGTCAACTCTTGATCGCCGATATACGCCACAATTCGATGACCAGAATACGCAGAGAGTTCAACTCGACCTGAAAACGCCTGCTGGGCAAGCCCCTTCTCCTGGCCAACTGCAACATTTCCAGGTGCGGCATTTCTTTCACGCGCTCGAGATCGCTCACGCTTCTTTGGCACACCGCTGGAGCTGCCCGCTTCCCCCACCCTCTGCGCTTTGCTAACTGAGGCTGTACCGTCACCATCTTCAACAGAGCCACGAGCTCCATTCACTGGTTTCAAACTTTCAATCCCTCGTTTGTGTCTTCGCCGTCCGGTTTCAGCCGAGCAGTCGATTCGTTTCATTTGCTCTGAGACGTTTGCCATGTCGTCCTTTCTTGAGTCCAACTGCAAGCCTCGGATTCCCTGCCCCGCCAGAATGGGCCCTGCTGCTGCAAGAATTGAGCCTGGGTTTTCGTCTGACCGGGACTTGGTGCCGGAATTCAAATGCGCACTCCATCCGCCTCCGCTAGTTAATGGCAATTTTGATGAATGCTGCTGGCGGCGCTCACCAAATGTTTCAGAAGAATCGAGGAGCTCACCAGGCCGAAGAGTGCTCTTCGAACTCTTCTTTTCAGTTGGATTACTTGACGCCTGTACAGGATTCGATGCTGGTCCCGCCGGCACGACTAACGGATTACCGCGTGCGGACGCGGCGACGACATCAGACTGCAGCCCTCCATTCGGTTTGATCAAATCGGGCATCTGCGCCTCTGGTTGAAGAGATTGCTCGCCTTTCGAGCCTGTCCGTTGTCCGTGTGAAGCAGCATGCTCTGGCGTAGCTGAAGTCGTCTGCTTTGGCATTGCAGAAGACGGATTCAACGAGTGCGAAAGTGGAGGGATGGTGCCTCTTTCTCGCTCAGTTGCGGTCTCTGAAATACTCTGACCAGCAGCATGAGACATTTCCACGTCAATATGCTTCTTACTCTGTTCTACGTCCCCGTCTTGTTTTGCGGGCGTCGAGTGCTTTTCGATTGTCTGTCTGTTTCCCGCAACAACGTCGATCATGCTATCCAGAACGCTGCGGATAGCTGCTCTGGCACCTTGCTTCGGGCTCTTAGCGACTGCATTCTTTGTACTTTGGGATGAAAATGCGGGGTCACGCGGACCGTTTGAGTCCCCCATTCATTCAAATCAAGGCGCGACAACCCAGCCTCTCAAAGAAAGCGTTCGAGAAGAAAGTCGAAGGTCAAGTACGCATGCCAGACGTGACAAAACAACAAATGACCTCGAGGTGGATCAAACACGGTTGCGGTCGGCGCGGGTTGCAGTAGTTCGCGTCATGCCGCAGCAGCCAGCGTCTAGCGAAGACTTTCATGCGAATTAGCGGCAAACTGTATCCCCAAAAAAAGTTTCTGACTTTTAAGAAAAAAAACTCAAATTATATTTAATTGTACCTACTCCACGAATGCACTTTGTCCAACGAGCACGTGGCATAAGGGTGGTCACCTTCAGCACGCACGACCCGAACCAAGTCGTATCGCGGTGGTTTCACCTGTCTCAGAATTTGATTGTCATTCTGAAGTAGAAGTTGCTTATCATGTGATCTTCAGAACCGTCGACCGCCTTCCAGTTGTCTTCTCCAATGACATCCGGCGCTCCGTTGGACATCGTCGGTCGCAGCGGCGTGAAGTCTGTGATGCTTGCTTCGTCTAAATCTTGCTTGACGTTTGGGACAAAACTCGGCATGAACCAGTTCGAAGTATGTCCCCTCGAATACAATGTTTCGATCGATGATTCCTGCGTCGTTACATTCACCCCGTTGACGTTGAGATTGGAAAAGTGGTTGTAGCAGTGGTAACTCCCGTTCTTGAAGCGAAACGCAATAGTGTCATTTTTCTGCAACTCAAGCAGTACGTGCTTTGTCCTCCTGACCATCTGCGCCCCCAAGTTGGCCCCCGTGATTTGAGGCTCCTTGCCGTATACACCCATCAACACACCGTTGTGCCACCATGCGAGTTCGGAACATGCGTTCGCCGCCAAACCCTTCTGCGAGATGCTCGGATTCCATGATCCGAGCTTCAAGAACGGTGGTACGGTTTTTAACAATGTCTCTTTGTGACAGGTCGCGGTGTCGTTCGTGAACCGCTCATCGATGACATTTACCACCCTTTCCTTTAACACACAGACATGCGTTCTTCCAGGACAGGAGCACACCCAACCAGCTCGGCAAAATCTCGACCGACAGGAGGTGGGTGATGGCACACCTGCTATCTGGTCCCAACATATACCCTGCTTTTCTTTACCGAACTTACAACTACCTGTTTTCGCAATCCAAATGGAGTGGGTTAGTTTTCGTTTTCGCTGCATGAGAAGACAGTTTCAGAAGGCGAGTGTACTGACAAAAATCGCCCTCGAAACGGCATGGCCCTTCCTCGCCGCCAATAACTCCCACGCTCAGAGCCGCTACGATGACCGTCAGGTGAAGCAGTGTTAACGCTTGCGCCATTGCTAGCTATAGGTCGTTTGTCCTCACCTCGACGATAGTTGCAACGATAAGGATAGGTCCGGCGAATCGATTGCCAACCTCTGACTATTTGTCTTTACACATATATGAGGGGATGCCTGTTAAGAAGCAATTCCTGCAAAGAGGCCGTGGGTTGCAATCAAAAGCACACGCGAGACGAAGCACTACAACACATACATGCGAATACATGCACGGTTACCCTCTCGCGTATATCTGCATTGCAAGGGGATCCAAACGCTTCAGTATTTGTGTTTTAAGTCAAGTTTGAATGCGGAGCACGGTTGCCGTTTTACCTTAATAGATGATGCCTCATAGCGGAGACTGAGAGATGTCGTAGTCTTTACTGCCAGGTATCGAATGCCACAAATACTCTTCATACTTCTAAGTATCAACTGAAAACGGGTTGAAAATGGTACTGAAACCCCAGAAAATGGGTTACTCAAATCACAAACTACAGCATATGCCTTAAAAGCCCCAACACGGAGCTTCAATTTAATCAGCTCAAAACCGTTCCCCCTTCAATTTCCAAACACTACGTTTTATAACCCGGTACAATCCGTATTTTATCTTCTGTCTTCTGACATTAACGAGAGCATTGGTTTTGAAGCAGCACCAGAGACTTTCCCCTTCGGCTTTTGACCTTCAGACGTTTTCACGTCCTGAAGAAGCGTCAAGGTATGCCTAAGACTGTAGTCAACGAGCATGTTCGCGCCTCAACTCTAAAAAAGAATGACACTCGCAACGGAGATGCGAGCCAATTCTTTCCACAGGACATTGCTCGGGAACCTGAAGCAAAATTTTATATTCTCTGCGCGGCGCCCTGAAGCCAATTGCCTGCTTAGTCGTAATCACTGTAGATATCCCGATAGGACTGCCGTTTCTCGAATAGAACCTTGAGGAAATCACAGTGAAAAATCGTAAGGATGGAAACCCCGTATGCTCGAGTAATCTGGAGAAGCCATTTGTCGAAAGGTCCATACTGGGCGTAGGGGCTTTGAGAAAACGTTATGCAACTTCCTACATCGTGGATGACATACTTAGCTTTAGCGTCGGGCTCAAATGAAACTTGTGGAAAGGAAAAACTGTGAAGCCTTGAGTATTTTAAAGAAGGAAACGCAAAAAGGAACGAAAGCCATTTGAAAAAATCCCTTTCTTTACCCTCTTTCTTCAAACATCTTCGACTGGGAGATAATGGTCAGATTTATAGTGTTGTTTTCATAATGGTAATAATAAATATATATATATATCCTTAATAGGATATGAAAATGATGTTACCAATTGAGAAACACAGTGGTCAGCAGAGTACTGCAAGGTCGACGAAGGTCTTGTCCTGCTATCCTGAGTAGGGGCAAAAGAAAGGACGCCGATACGTTAAACAAACAAGCAAGGGATTTTACAATCAGGACACGTCGTGACATGAGTTCCCTTCGCATACGTATCCTGTTTCCTTCTCCTTTCGGTTGACGATTGTGTTACTGCGAATAAGCGAAACAAACATCTGTGTGGAAAATTGACATATAGAGCATAAGTGTTTATTCGAGTGGGATTATTTCGAGAACGAAAGTACATATCCCATGTTCTTGTTCATGTCTTTTAAGCCGTGAGATCTGATCCAGTCCAACATTGCTTATGTTTTTCAGTTGGAGGAGAGAGTAGTCAGCACAGCTTTTATGAAAAACACTTGACGACGTCCACAGATTCCAGTCGATTGTTTGTTTGTGTTTTCAAAATACAAGTACTGCAACGAGATTTCACGGAAGCCAGTATAACTTTTGCGTTGATAAATTGAAGAAAGTAGCCATCTGTCCGGAACAGAATATCAGGATTCGTTTAACTGTAAACAAACTGCACTGGGGGAAAGCATTGCATTTCAAGGCTTTTTACTTCAGTCGATACTTGTAATAGCGAAAGTGATTCACATTTTTACAGCAACAGCTCGATTACGTTTATCTTCCGCATACTCTCGGGACGTGCAAAGACTTTTTCAAATGACGTAAGCGTGTGGAAGACCAGGTGTACTGCGTCTTCTCTTTCTCCGTCTCAAAAAGCTATTGCAAATCAATTGCGAAAACATTTTCCTGTCGGTGGTCAGTATTAGAAAGCAATGGGCATCTCTGCTGCCACTCGAAAGGATTTTGTTTCCTGGCGCAAACTCTTAAAGACAAAGGCAACAAAGACAGCGACGAGATATAGAAATCTCCCGCAGTTGCTTCGCAGTGGTCTGCATCTTTTCGTTAGAAGCAAGTTCGTCCTTGTCTCCTTTACTGCTCTTACATGGAGTATTTCAATAGTGCACAATTACAACCCATTTCCTATAATTTAGTTCTGAAAGACGACTGCTCGGAGTTTCAGGTGACTCTATGCACCTTCCCGTAGTCATGTTTCCTAATCTCTCACGCGTGCTGCGGATAATATCTCAAGAGAGGACTGAAATTTCTGGCCACATCTTCCTTTTCCTTTGCTTTAAATAGCTTTTTTTCCTTTCCCCACGGTACTTCTGCCACACATCAAAACTGCACAACAGTTTAAAACGACACACAAAGAGCAATTTCTACCGTTGTTCCAAACGTAACACTACTTTCCGCATCAACCTCAGCTGGGAAACACCATCAGTCCACGATATTCAAAAACTTTGTCCAATTCTTAAGCAAAAGACTTTGAAGTTGATATACCAACTTTTTGAAATGAAAAACGCGTATACTTCATTCCTGGTTTTGTGCTTAGTTGTTGCGCACGTGGCAGGAGACTTAGGGCCCTGTCGATTTGACCCTGATCGATGCAGCTGCAAGATCGGACCGGAAAATCAAGGAATTTGTTGGGATAAGATTGTCGGCCAACCGGGCATGTGTACGAGACGATTTTGCAAAGCTGGTTGGACATGCGCATGTGGAGGACGAACTCACGTTTGCTACTTAGCCCCAAAAAACGTCAACGTGGTCAATAACCTTCCAGATGTCGCTCAAGCCACGGCAGCTTGCCAAACGGCTTCAAGTTCGTTGGTGAATTCTCGAGAAATAAGTCTGGGAACTTTCAAGATTCACATTTCAAAGAATGGTGTCCTGGCGGATGACTGCACGCAGATTGCGTGGTGGCATAATGGCATTCTTCTGGGAAACCACAAGCTCGTTCCTTCTATGTCTGCATTGGTAGTAGACACCGAACATTCAAAGAGGGAAGACCACTCGCTCCTGGAATTGCGGCCGGGAGACTTACTTGCATTCCGCTTTAAAGAAGCGTCATACTACTGCTACAAACATTTCTCGGAAATGCTTGTCAACGGAACTGAGATAAGTACCAACACTGGAGTTACTACAACTCACTACTCGCGAGAATATTCTCAGGACTGGTTTCTTCCTTCCTTCACACTTACCGAAGCAAACACGGCCGCAGATGAGAGCGAAACAGATCTCAAGAAATTTCTACCTCTCCGTAAAACGAAGTTTTCTGGAAGCCCAATATCGAATGGTACAGATCACTGGGAGCCAAGGGATGACACGAACGCGGATAATAAGCGTTCGAACTGGTATTACAGAATCCAGATTGCCGACACAATTTCTGGTCCAACATCTGTTGCTCAACTCTAGCTGCGATGCAGTTCAATCCGGCAATGTTGATTGCAGTAATAGAAACACAGGTGGTTTGAAATAGAAACCACTAAGTTTCACAGCAAGCTGATATTCTCTTCGTGTTTGGAAGAGAAAATGAATCGAAAAAAGTATAGGCGGGATAGTCCTCAACCTACTTCTGAATAAAAAGATTCATTCTGTTAATGATGTGCTTTCGAGATCTCGGAGTAGTCGTCTCGACTACGGTCAATGATACGAAAGTACCCCTAACCATTTTACAAAACCTTAATACGCCAATACGTATTTGTGAGGGTCACATTTTCTGGGTCGAAGCTATCTCCAAAGCTCGTAGTTTTTGGGTCAGACCATGAACTACTCTCTACGAAGTCAGCAGCAAACCAATCTGTTTCAAAAATATTTGAGAAGCGGTGAGTCACGAGCGTTGTATCCCTAGTGTCGGTTTCGGTTCCATTAATATTCAAGTTTGAAATACTATTGTAGCAGTAGTAGTCTTCGTCCTTCCATCGAAATCCTATTTGAACGTTAAGTGCCAAAAAAAATCAAAAATATGGTCAGAGACAAACAACAAAAAAGGAAGGTCATCCGCGTGCATTGCTCCTCGCGAATGTGTTCGAGTTGAGGTTGAAAACGGATGAAGCGCAATGTACCTATCACAGACCCAGAGCGAAGAGGAAGCAGGTTCCAATCGCTGAGCGAGGTCTTTACCGTCTCCAAGTTAGAGTTCGACACAGCAGTCAGAGTATTAAAGTTATCTTGAAGAACGCCATCCAAAAACCAAGCAAAGGTCTGGCATTGCTGGTCCAACAAGCCTTTATCTGAGAATTGCGGATGAAAGTATCCCAACTTGAAACCAGAGCTTGTGACAGTCTGCTGTGTTATGACTTGACACGGCACGTCTGTGGTCAAAAGAATGTCGTTTTGGTCGATGAGTGTGTATACATCAACGTCGGCAACGTCACAGAAGTAATCGCCCTCGCAGTCGCACTTCCAACCTGGATCGCAGGTTCTACGAGCACATACTTGCACTCCGTCAATGGTTCCTGTTGGCTCGTAACTAGAGATGTTTGATCATTATGTTTTTGGCATGTTAGTTTGCAGTCATCGTATGTATATCGTGAACGAGAAAGAGATTCTGACACATACCAGGCGCCTGCCGAAGACCCAAAAGAACAGGTACACCGCGTGTCGGTAAAGACGCAGGTTTGGCCCCATGCAGCTCTGACGAAAACAAGAAAGAGAAAGCATGCCGAAGAGAGGAAAGTGCTCATGCTTGGTGATCTGTTGAGAACCGAGAGATAGACGATGCAGACACTGGGAATGCGTTCTCGGTGGCGTATGAAGCTTGTGTGGGAGTGTATAGAGTTGGGAGTATGGTTGTGATAGCTTAAGAACGGTACAGTACTGCTAAACAAATGACTGATCTAGAAGAGATATACCATGCTTGCTGAATTGATGACATCGACTATCCAAGTGTATTGATATATGGGCATGTGTTAAAAGTTGCAGAATATTTCTTGGTATCATCACTTGTAGGTCGATTCACGGGAACTACGTGCACCCATGGAATATTCCCGGTCCCAACGAAAACGTACAATTTCACAGAAATGGTGGTTTGAGGAGAGAGTGTTCTAAAACCAAATGCAAAATGTAACTTTCAGTCATCTGTCGCCAGAGACTACTACCGCAAAATGTTGCTAACAAACGACAGGAGAAATGGATGGATTATGGGGGGCATGGATGTACTGGCATCTTTGAAAATTAAGTTTATGATGCGTAGAGCGGGTGTGGATTCTCACAAAGCGCAAAGCAAAAGTTTGTTTCGAAATACATTGCATTGCAGTCAGGGAATCTGCAATTAATGTGAAAGCTGTAGAAACGGGCTATTGAGTGTTTATGTCTATCCTTGCACCGTGGCTATTCTAGTTTTAGTGGTTTGGTTTTGGGGGATGTGAGACGCCGTTGGATTGCGGCTCTGTAACTCGAAGCACAGTGAAGAGATTGTCGTTAGTCGACTTGCGATGAGGCCGATGTCGGCATCTGTTTAAGACACGAACGTGTTCCCCCTAAATGTGCAAGAGAGAAAAAAAGCTGAAAGTACCCTTGGGTACTGTACACTCTGAAAGCAGGCCCTGCAAAAGAACTTGAGGAAAAACAGCTTGGACAAATTGTCACAGCAATGCCATCGGAAAGAGGCAAGCCAAGACACACAGGCAGTCGGATCTTTTGATTAGATCACACAGCCGAGCAGTACAAGTACAGAGCGCAGGCGTGGCGGAGCGGTGAGAAGCGAGGTGCTCGCTGATCTTGGTGTGGGAGATATCTCCACGAAATAGCGTGGATTCGCGATCTCCATAACCCTTCAAATAGCTGTCCGCCAAGTCGCCCTCCTCCTCTAACCTTGGAGCTCGAGTCTCTCCCACATCGGCGTCCAATCTCCCCATCCACCTTCCCCGCCCCATTCCCAACCCCACCCGGCGCAACCGTCACAACCCTGCGCCGGATCCGACTCACCATGCCTCCTGCCGCCTTCTGCGCCCCTGTCCCGCTCTCGCGGCAGCACCTTGCGTCCGCGACCTCTCCTCTATCGCCCCTACGATCCCCGCACACGCCCGCGTGGGCACCCGCCGCCCCGCCCAATGCTCGCCTCCACCCCCGCATGAGTGTGTCCGAGGTCGCCGTGGACGACACTAAGAAGGCGTCGGGGCGTGCCACCATCGTCATCGGCACGCGCGGCTCACCGCTCGCACTCGCCCAGGCCCGCGAGACCCAAAGACGGCTCATCGAGGCTTTCCCCGAGCTGGCTGACGAAGGCGGCATCGAGATCCGCGTCATCCATACCACGGGTGACATGGTCCTGGACAAGGCGCTGTCGGAGATCGGCGGAAAGGGTTTGTTTACCAAGGAGATCGACGTTGCCCAGCTGAATAACGAGATCGATATCGCCGTCCACTCCATGAAGGACGTGCCCACGTGGCTGCCAGACGGTATCTGTCTGCCGTGCATGCTACCAAGGGAAGATACGAGGGACGTGTTCATTTCGAACAAGGCCAAGACCATTGAAGAGCTTCCGGATGGGAGCGTCATTGGATCTGCCAGTCTGCGTCGGCAGAGCCAGATCTTGGCCAAGAACCCATCTTTAAAGGTGGTCAACTTCCGCGGAAATGTGCAGACCCGCTTGCGCAAGTTGTCCGAGGGTGTTGTTGATGCCACGCTCTTGGCTCTTGCGGGGCTCGCCCGAATGGACATGACCGAGCATGCCACGTCCATCATTGATCAGGACGAGATGCTTCCTGCCGTCGCCCAGGGCGCCATCGGGATTACATGCCGTGATGGCGACCAGGCGATGCTTGATTTTCTCGCTCCGTTGAACCATCCGGAGACGAAGACGTGCGTCGATTGCGAGAGGTCCTTCTTGGCGAGGTTGGATGGCTCCTGCCGTACGCCGATTGCGGGGCAAGCTTGTATCGAGGATGGAGTTTTGCATTTTCGTGGGCTGGTGGCGAAGCCTGACGGATCAGTCGTTTTTGAGACTGGCAAGAGCGGAAAGCCGGCGGATGCGTTGGCTATTGGGACTGATGCTGGAACGGAGTTGAAGGAGAAGATGGGGGATAACTTCTTTGCGGTTTAGTGGGGCGCAATTTTTTATCTTTGGAGAAGGGAAAGTAAACTTCGCCATGCAGTCGGATTATTGTGACATGGCATTCCCGGGCGGCACTGCGGGAGCGCGGTGAGCTGGTACATGAAGCAAGCTGCGACGCTGCGCTGACGTGCGTTCATGTCGTGCAAGCAGCGTTGCATGAGGCACATTGGACTAATATGTACAGATCATTTTGTCGAGTTTGTCATTTGTTTGCCTGTAAAAAGTTAGTTCTAAATAGTTTGTCCAGCCTTTAAGCACCTCTTGCAAATCGAAACTCCAACACTCGCACAGAAAGATCTTCGCTCGCCACACCAAGCTGTATGTTGAGAATGCCTGCTTCTTGTATGGAGCTCTCCGGCCTCCATTGGATATTCGTTATCCGACTGCCGCACCGAGTCTGTAGGTTTGTGGAGTACACTTGCTCTATTGATAAGCTTCCATGTGCATCGATTTCGGCTTCGAAAAGACGGATATGTCCAGCTACGAAGCCAGCTGCCACAACGACGTGTCTTCCATCACCGGCGATGCTGACTGCATCAAGAGCTGAAACGCCCGAGTCAAACTTCTGCTTGTAGACCTCAGACATGCCTCCGTCTTGGGAAGGCAAGCCGGTCGTGAAGACTTTGAGGTACTTGTCCCTCCCTCCCGTAGCAATGAACTCATCACCAAACAACCATGCACACGTGTAGATGAGTCGAGAGTGAGCTCCTTTCTTCTGAATCGCAGTTGAAAAGCCAAACCTGCTCCCAACCTCAGTCTTTCGGAAAATTGAGACTGAACGATCTCTTGACACTGCTGAAATTGCCTTCCCATCTTCTGAAAACGTCATTTGGTTGATCGTGAGATCATGTGCCAACAGTCTGCCGCATTCAACTCCATTGTTGGAGTCCCATAGAATAATGACCGCATCCTTCGCAGTCTGGGCCTTGCAAGCAGATGCCAAGACAGCATTATTAGGATCTGCAGCAACACACGATATCTCGTTGCCGTGACCATACAATTTTGCCGTCTCGGGCCACAGTCGCTTCTGTTTGAGGTCTTCTTCTAAAGGCACGATTGATTTTGCTCGCGCCGCCCCAAACGAAGTTACAAGCAGGTCCTCACTGACTGCATTTGTCGATTTACTCCCCTCATCATCTTCTTCTTTCGCGTCGTCCTCTTTTTCAGCCTCGTAAGTGGCTTTGTTCGACAAGCCTAGCTCCGGTACTACAGCTGATGTAGCCCTCTTCGACCCATATACATTGACATCAGTTTCCCCCGGTAGGCGGAAGCGACTTGGGGCTTCAAACATTCTCAACATGCGTTCTTCGGCACCCGACACGTATTTTCTGCCGTCCTTATCGCAGAATTGCACGGCAAATAAGGCATGTCCATGAACTTGCGGTCTCGCCCATTCGACAAAACGATGGCAATCGTCCTCTTCCACCTCTGCGAAAATCCGTGCCGTCTTATCTTCGCTGCAGGTGAGGAGGTACCTTCCTTGTGGTTCCCACGCTAGATCCGTAACCATACCAAAGTGCCCACTGGGTGCCGACTTTGCAAGGAACTCGACGTTGCTATCTATAAGTGACTTTGCCCGCCAGCAGTGCAAAGCACCAGCAAAATTATGTCCAAGGACCTCATCGCACTTCGCATTGACAAAGGATGCTCCAAAGAATCCTAAAGCATGAGCAGAGCTTCCACCTAGAAGTCCAAAACGCGCTACACTTTCCCAGCGTCGGCCTTCTAAGCTCCAAAGCACAATGCTGCAATCCATAGAAGAAGTGAGCAGCTTTGAAGTGTTCGACGGTCCGCCAAACTCCACAGAATGAACTGCAGCGGTGTGCTCGTCCAGGAGGGCCTCCGCAGTAAACGACCACTTTTCGTCGGAGAGCAGCGCCTCAACCCTCGCCGTATGTACGTCAAAAGTGTCAGGTTCTTTTTCACCAATTCGCTGCACTTGCCAAATGCGGGCAGTGCCGTCCTTCGACGCGCTCGCAAGTCGGAAAGCACCTTCTTCAGTAGTTGCAGAGAATGCGAGTCCCCTGATCCAATCACGATGCCCATCTAGTACTGCTGCCTTTCGTAGACAAGGATCTTCGCCTAGCACGGCGGAAAAGAGCCAAACGCGTCGATTCGTCCCGCCTACAGCCACTAGGGCTGTATTCCCTGCAATGCGTTGCATAGCCACACACTCCAAGAGCACCGCCCCGGGTGGGGCCACGTCTACCTTCGCGCCTAGCTTCCATGACACGAAATCCGCACCTTGGCGCCATAAACGCAATTCACCTTCCATTCCTGCTGTGATGAGGGCCATGCCGTCGACATCGCACGCGTGAATTGCAGCGCAAGGCTGCCCCCCATGTGCCACCCATTTTGTGACATCGACCACATGATGGTCACGTATACTAGCCACAGATATCTTTCCATCTGCGGCTGCCGCGAAAAGCAAGACTTGTTTGTTTCTTGTAGCTGTCAAGTGGACGGCAGTCACCGCAGCGTCGTGCAGGGGGAGCACGGCATAGACTTCGTGGGAAACCGCATTTAGGAGTAGGACATTGTTCGCACTAGCGTATGCTGCCAGAGATTTGGAAGGCAGTACAGAGAGAGCACCTGCTCGACGACTACATGCCGCAGATGCGAGACGCAAATTCGGCTCCCCTGAAACCTGAATCGGCATGCGATATTCGACCTGTCTTGAAGACCTGCAGTGCTCTCACTGTCAGGGACAAGAAAAGGCTTCCGCCGAAGTCGCCGAGGCGAAGTAAATGACGATGATGACGGTGACGACGGGGCGCGTGCCAGTAGAAGGGGAAGTGCAGATGGGGGCGTTTACCACGAAGACCGGCGGTCCCTTGTAACAAAGGCTACAGAGTGGCTTTGCTTTTTTTTTGATTTGATCCAGGCCATTGAGAATCATACGAAGAGAAATTGATTTACTGGTCCAAATGGCTCTGGTCCACCATCCCTTCTTATCGTTATTGCGATCAGCGATCCGTTTTCAATCTTGACCTCAAGGATTATGCTCACCCGCTCGCTGAGGGCGAGAGGTCAGCTCGGTTAAGCTACAAAGTCTCACGAAATGGTGCGCAGCTTAGTCACCGGTGGATCAGGTTTTCTGGGTCGTCATCTCGTTGAGAAGTTGCTCGCAAATGGCTCAGATGTAGTCGTCTTCGACTTGCATGAATATGTCCACGAGGACGTCACACATAAAGACCACATCACGGTATGCACAGGGACTATCACTCAACTTGGGGACGTGGTATCGGCTTGTCGTGATGTCGATGTCGTCTACCACTGCGTATCAGCGGACCCGCTAGATAATCGAAACGAGGCATTGATGTTAGCCGTCAATGTGGAGGGTACCAAGAACGTCATTGAAGCTTGCAAACAGTCTGGTGTCCAGCGATTGGTGTATGTGTCATCAGCAAGCGTTGTCTTCGATGGCAGCCATATGATTGATGTTGATGAAACAAAGCCGTACCCGAGCAAATTTACCGATTTTTACTCCAAGACAAAAGCGGATGCCGAGAAGCTTGTTCTAGCTGCTAATCGCGAATCTCTAAGAACTTGTGCTATTAGACCCAGTGCAATCTTTGGGGAACGCGATCCAGCTTTAGTTCCAAGGCTTGTCGAAGCAGGGCGCGGAGGGAAGACCAAATACATCATCGGGAATGGAAAGACAATGTGGGAGTTCACGTACGTCGGCAACGTAGCTGACGCATGCATGAAAGCTGCGGAACATCTCACTATCGGTAGCCCCGTTGCGGGGCAGGCATACTTCATTACGAATGATGAAACGACGCTGTTCTGGGAACAATGCGGAGTCATCCTTGGTGGGCTAGGATATCCAGTTCCTGCGACAAAGATTCCATTTGCGGTATGTTTCTTCATTGCGGTTTTGCTTGAAGTCATACTATTCATTCTCTCTCCAATTTACAAGCCCCGGAAGCCACCGACGTTTTCAAGGCAGCGAGTTTCTTTACTCACATCACATCGAAAGATATCTTGCGAGAAAGCCAAGAAAGACTTCGGATATACACCAAAGGTTTCCATGGAAGAAGGAATGAAGAGAACTATTAACTTCTTTAAACCTCTCGCGAAGGACGCAAAATCTGCAAAGAGTGAATAGCAAGGGGTCTGCGCGCTTTTCGCATGATTAAAGCGTGCCTTGCTCCCCATAACTTTAGCGTACCCCTTCTCTGCATCTACTGGCCGTGAACAAATGCAATGAACCGCACACTTCTACGACCTATTTCTTTCTGAAAAGCACTTGCGTTTATAGTCGTGAGCGATAGCCTCCTAAAAACCTGCCGAACAGGTAAGCCTTGCCGCAAACTCTTTTGATTTTGTCTTTGTTGTTAAATAAAGCGGTAACTTTACGCCCCAAACTCCATCGCGAGCTCCTTGAACGACTCTTGACCCCGTCCCCTTTCCCTTCGCCTGCGGGCCAATGCACTTTGTTGGTCATTATATGGCTGTTTCTCTCCTTCAGCGATAGCTCTGGCAATATCACCTTTCTTCTTGGTTTCGGACTTCTTCACGCTCCCTTGTTGATCGGCCTCGATGGTAGTCCTCGCGGCCTTTAATTCTGACATCATCTGGCTTAATTCTGCGGGTTTGTCACCGAGCACGAAGGCTCGAGCCACATGCCCCAAGTGCAAGTTACGAACATGGAAGAAGTACCGTACGTCCCTTGCATGAGTTGCGTATGCTCGACAGTAAGCTTGAAACCCCGAAACAGCCTGCCCCTTAAGCTCCCCGTCTTCTTTCACGATATTCTCAAATGACTCTTGCAAGACAGATGTAACCAATCTAGTGCCGTAAGATATACTTTCTTGTCTTGACAAAATGACTTTTGGATAGAGCGCTGCCATTGCGGCGGATCCGGAGACTTCCGAAATCGAAACACCTTTGGTTTCGAGCTTTCCTATATATGCCCTCTCGGACGGTAGTAGAAAGAGTAGCGCATCACCTTGCGCCCCAATCCTTGCCGTTCGTCCAGCCCTGTGTAAATACTCCAGCTCCTCACCCTGCCCACCAGTAGGAGGGTCATATTGAATGGCAAAGGTGAGTCCCTTCAAGTCAAGACCTCGGGCCGCAACATCTGTACAGAATAGCACGGCTCGCTCACTTCTTCGAAACGTTCGCAAAGCTTCCACTCTATCCGACTGTGTGTGATTGCCGTGTATCCGAAGTACCTTGAGCGGCAATAATTTTTCCTTTAAATCCACCGCTTGGTCCTTTTGAAGTTCCTTTGGAAGCGACGCTTTTCTCAGGAGGTCGTAGTGAAAGTCAACAGAATCACATGTGCTGAAAAACACAATGATCTTACAGGGGGGCCCGTCGTGCTCTTCATTCTTCAGCGAGTCCTTAGACATTCCTTTCAACGAGCGAAGCCTCAATAATGACGCCAGCGTGACGAGTCTATGTCTCTGTTCTACGATGCAGAAATGCTGCCGGAGCTGCATCGGCATAGCAAACGAAGATTTGGTGTCATGACCCTGGCCGACAGAGATTTCAACAGGGCTTTTGAGGGAAAATTCCGCCAGCTTCTCCACGTCATTCCGCAGTGTGGCGGACAAGAGAATGTTGGAACGAACAGGACCAACTTCCGGATTCACACGCTTGGCTTGGGTGTCGAGGTTCTCAATGACCTCTTTTATCGCGGCTTCAAACCCGAGGTCCAGTAAGCGATCCGCCTCGTCAAGCACGAGAAACTCGCAGTGCTCGTACGTGAAACTCCTAGTGTTTCGCATATGGTCCAACAGCCGCCCAGGTGTTGCCACAAGAACATTGACTCCCTTTCTGAGGCGCGCCTTTTCCCTGTGCTTGCTCTCTCCACCTCGTACGCATCCAACGACAATCCAATGCCATGGCCGAAACACTCTCTCCGCGACTTCCTCAACTTGGTCCGCAAGCTCGCGCGTTGGCACGATAATGACGCCCAAGGAACCCTTTTCTCGTGTCACTCGCCGAGACCTATTCAACAAGTAATGAGCTATGGGGAGCAAATATGCAAGCGTTTTCCCAGATCCAGTTGCACTGCGGACGAGCACATCGATTGAGTTTTGGCCATTACCAAGGTTTAACATTGCCTTGAGCACTTTCTCCTGAATGAGGGTTGGGAATTCAAGCTGCATGCGATTGGTGAGGTGCCGCGCCACGGACGGATACAGCCCTGTTTCCTCAAATGAACTGATACCAAACATGTCATCCTCTTTACTGGTTTTCGTCGCGCCGCTCGGGTCAGTCGGAGCTGTGCCACTCGTTTGGCTTTCTTTTCCTTCAGAGATGCGAATAGGGTCTCTTCCGAGAATGTCAAGTGTTGCGTTCACTGTTTCAGGCCTCTGGTCCGGTTTATCCGCAACAGGCGCTGTATCCTTGAAGTGGACCTTTGACTTCTTCGGCAGTTCCCTTTCTTTCTTCTGCTTTTCATCCGCATCGCTCCCTCCGACAGTGATTAAATTTGGAAGCTTGGCTACACTATCAGAAGAGCTCGGTCTGACCTTGCCGGGTGCGTTGGCTGCCTTTGCTTTCGCAGGCGTGGCGCTGCCCACGGCATTCGCAAGATTTTCCTTGTCTATTCCGCTCGAAAATTCATCTGCCTGAAGCCTGAACGCCGTTGACTTTGGCTGCGAACGATTAGACGGGCGTTGCCTCTTCTGAGCGTGCACTCGCTGGATGACTTGCTCTCGACGTCGCTTCCGCCAACTCCCCTTCGCTTTTCCTTTGTTGTTCGAGGGACCTCGCAGATGCGGCTTAGAGGATGAGGTAGAAGCGAGGTTTAGTTCCATCGGGATTGTGGTTTGCCTCTGGAAGCAATGCAACAGCTCCTGCGACTTCTATACAGGGATATTAAGGTTGTGGTGGCGGCGGCGGCGGCGTAACATGAGAGAGATTTGGTGCCTGTGTCCAGCAGGGTCGACATCGGTGGACTGTGCGCTGTAAGTCTTTCCCAACATGGGCCTTGATCTCATAAAAAATTACATTTTTATGGCTTTTAAGGTGAGATTACAGTATGCCCCATTAGACAATTTGCGATCAATTCGCGTCGAAGCTACGAAGGTCGCCAACGTCGGAAAGGTTTCAAGTGTTTTGCCAGTAAGCGCTGCCGCCCATCAGCGCGTTCCCTGCGAGTTTCACCCTGTCTTTCCACATTCGTCATCATCGCTCCTTTCACTGTTACAGAGCTGACGGCGGACGTCGAATCGCCAGCGAGACTGAAGCAACGCTGCGACTCGCGAGCGTCGTTTCCGTGCGCTCTCACAGGTGTTTTTCCACCTGAGCCCTTCGTTGAGCAATTCTACGAGTTGCAACAACTAACGCACAGGAAAAATGGCAGACGACGACGGTGATGGAGGGTAAGTCAGTTACAATGTTTTCACAGCATGAAAAACCGGGGCGCACACATGCGCAAATCGTCCCATCACCCACTGACTCAACCTTTCGCCGACCTCAGAATGCAGGACTATCGCGACGAGGTGAACGACATGCCCGAGGGAAATGATGGCATCGACGCGATGGATGAGCCCGACTTTGGTGACGAGGAGGACCCGAATGAGGAGGAAGAGAAGGAGCGGATAACAACGCGCACGCTGACCAAGTACGAACGAGGTACGTGCCATTTTACAGCTCTACACAGCGAGCTTGTCCCGACATAGTAGCAGCCTTTGCTAACACGTGTGAGACTGAGATGCTGCGTGCACTCTGGTTTTCTGCGATAGCGAGAATATTGGGGACTAGAGCATTGCAACTGAGCATGGGGGCGCCGCCCATGGTGGAGATTCAACCCGGTGAGACGGACCCGCTCGTGATTGCCAAGCGCGAGCTGCAGGAAAAGAAGATCCCCATCACGATTCGACGCTTCCTCCCGGACGGTTCGTACGAGGACTGGCCGCTCGATGATTTGACAATTCCGAGCATGGGGCAAGCGCCATGAACATAAACGTCCTCCGCTGCCTACGCGTTCCCCGTTCTTTTCTCAGTCAGATGCGTATCAACACGAGCACCACACCGGACAGAATTTGAACAAACAGACGTAAACATGTCCCTGTCGAGCGGCACCCATTTTTTACACCGTTATGCTATTCTACCCCCAGCAACTGCGCGCCTACCCAGGTCTCCCCCGGCTGCACGGTCGCGGGGTTTGTAATGCACGCCGGCTCTATACACACAAAGTTCTCCCACCCTGGATCGGCCCCCTCGGCCCCGAATGGGTTCCACAGTGTGGCGTCCCCCAACGTGGGCGTCTTCTTAATCTTGAGGACCTTGAGCGAGGCGAAATCGAACATCGCCAGCTCTTCCGGCGCGTTGAGATAAATCCTATCCGTCTCCTGTGCAATCAGCAAGCCTGAGCCAGTGTCCTCCTCCGCAGGCATCTCCTTATCCCCCTCAAGCCTATTCAGAAACTTGCAGCCCTCGTACCCAAAAACGCGGGCGTTGTCCACCTTTGTAACCTTGAAATAGTTGTGAAATGCGGCCGTGAACTTAATCGGCTCCTGGCCCTTATTTGTAACAGCGAGCTTGGTCTCCAGCCCGACATAGCTCAAGGTGACAGTATACTCGGCTTCAAACTGGTAGGGCCAGGCCTGGACCCCCTCCCGGTCCTTCATCTCACTCGAGAGGCCAAAGACGGCACTGACGCTACCGTCCTCATTGACCATACAATTATTAATATCCCACTCACTAACCCTGGCAAAGCCGTGCTGCACGAGGTCGCCATACGGCCCGAACTGCGGGAAGCAAATAGGGATGCCGCCGCGTATAGCCTTCCCCTTGGGCTCCCACTTGTTGGTGTCGGAGAGCCAGAAGTGGTCCTCGCCGCGCGTGGTCCAGCTGGTGACGGCGGCGCCGTAGGTGAAGACGCAGACCTCCTGCGCGCTGGGCGGGTGGCGCATGTTGAGCTTGGGCATGTCGTTCGGGCCGACGGTGATCTCGAACGGCTGCTCGCTGGGCGGCGCATCGATGGGCGGCATCGGCGACCCCGGCGGCTTCGGGGAGCGCCGCACCTGCAGCTCCTTCGATAGCTGCTTCGCAATCTCGTCGAAGTTGGGCAGGTTTGACGACTGCATGGTCGGCCGCGCGGCGACGCGGCTTGGCCGTGCGCGCGGGGAGGAGACGGTCAAGGCGGACGGGCGCAGCAAGGAGGGGCGGCCCAGCAACGGCGTCGGTGACGTGAAGGCGGGCCCGGGGGACATGGTAGGAGGGTGCAGGAGGGAGGGGGAGGAAGGAGGGGGAGGAAGGGCGGGGGGTGGCAGGAGGAGGATGGGGTTGGCGATTGGTGCGGGGGTGCAAGGAGGACGATGGGGTTGGCGATTGGTGCAGGGTGGTGTTTCAGGCACGGTTTCAGAGGCACGCGTTGTTGGTGCTGTTGAAGGCGGGCGCTGTTGAAGGCGGGCGCTGTTGACTTCAAAGGCAGGCGCTGTCGAAGGCGGGCGCGCTATTGAAGACGCGCGTCTGGTGTCGAGCCAAGTCGCTTGAGATCGTTGCCCGAGTCTCTCCGAGATGCCCCCAACCTGCATCGCCCCCATTGGTCCATCTTGCTTACACTCTTTTGATCCGCATGACCGTTTCTCTCACTGTAATTCCCCGACGTCGTCTTCCCTCCTCTGCTTTTAACAACCTTACCCACCCTCAACTTTCGTCCTCCCTATCCCCCCCCCCCCCCCCCCCCTCCCCCGCTCTCTCCAACACACTCACAAAATGGTAATCGAAGAAGTCGACCAAGCCGCGGTGCGTCGCCAGCTGGAGTACTACTTCTCGGACTCCAACCTTCCGCGGGACAAGTTCCTGCGCGCGAAGACGGAGGAGGACCCGGAGGGATTCGTGCCCATTTCCGTTCTGCTCTCATTCAAGCGCTTGCAGAACCTCCACGCGACGCCTGCGCACGTGGCCTCTGCGGCGCTGGACTCGCCG